TTTTTTTTTCTTTTTTAACAAGAAGAAACAAATAACGTATATACGTGAAACATTAAAAATATATGCGTAAAATATAATGCAAGAAAAAGAAAACTTTGTACGAGATATATGTTATAAATACGAGATATATTGTCTATAAATATCGTTACTTTGATGCTTGACTAACAGCTCTGTGTACAAGCTCGTTCCAGTGACTCGATATAATCTGGTCGATGTGCAGTTTCTTTGGGTTCCTAGTTCTTCTGTGTAATTTCATCCGAAAAGAACTCGAGTCAACTTTATGCAAACTTTATTAACACTTAATGTTTTCTTCCAGCAACAATCTTGTCCTTTTTCACCTATCCCTTCAAGTTATTAAGCCTTTTTGAACATTCACATAATTTAAGACCTTTTTTAAATAGTTCTCAGTCTTTATTCTGGTGATCTCAGCCATTGGATTCTGTTTAATACAGTTTCTATCTCTCCATTTTGTTGAAGTGAGTCTCTGATTCTGTTCATGTTAGAAGTTCAGTTCTTGAAGTGTGTTCAAATATACTGGATGACATAATCTTCATGCTTTAAATCACTAAATAATGTTTCTAACATTTGTTAATTCTTCCACATATGCTTTTTGTTCATAATTTTAAATAACGCACACATGGTCTCTGAAGCTCCACTTCAAACACAGACCTATCTTTTTATTATTGTTTAAGGTAACGCGGCATTTTTTTACACAGACATTTTTTACGTAGAAATTTTGAATAAATTTAAGTTTGATTCAAATACTGTCCCTCAAGGGACGTAATTAATGATCCTAAAAACTTTGTAAAGAATTTCATAATGTTTTACTCTGAAATTGATAAAATCAAATTGATTAAGTCTCTTAATTGTTTTTCTCCTATTAAAGATATGACAATTCTTTTGTTCAATTTCTTTTGTTTGCAAATTACGAAAGAGATTGATAAATAATTCGAAACAAAAAAAAAACTTGAAATTTGTTATTACCACCAAACTTGCTTGTCTTGCTGCAATGATACGTGCAAAGATTACATGACTTGAAGATTTTTAGAATAATGACGTGTATAATATACACGATGTTTTGTATGGTACGATTCATGTTTATTTGTATGAAATAGTACACAAATTTTAGATGGTATACTATACCTATCCCACTGACATAGCCATCCGGGTGGTGCTGCATCTTGTTCCAAACGTTCCAATTCGTGACTGGTGTCACTCAACCATCTACGCAAGTAACTTTTTTCTAAACAACCTGCTTCCCACGCGACAAACAACGTCTGCAACATAATAAATAACACATTGTTTATCAACCTTACGTTCAACGATCATTTATAACGATGAAAAATAAACTTTTATTCACTTGTAGCTGAATAGACATCAGTTGAACTGGTGATACACTTGGTTTTCCTTCCGATAGAAACTTCAGTTTCTCAAGTATGATCTGCGCGAGTAGATTAACCTCTCTTTCATCTTCCTTGGATTCAGCATTCGCTTCTGGCGTGTTTGTTTCTTCCTCCGTACTGTCCGATTCATCTTTGCAAGTTGGAATATTTTCTTCCGCGATCTCGTTCCCTGTGCTCGTTTCTTCCTGCTGATCAGCTTGAGATTCGTTAGGATGCTCATCGCAAGAGTTCATTTCATCCCGTTGCGTCTCCACTTCCATTTTACTCGTTTCATCGTTATTTGCTTTCACTTTCGTAGATGGAACTAGAAAAAGACAGAGTTGTTTAATCCCGATTACAATCATCGATTTATAAAATTTTCCTACCATCGAAAGCAATACGTTTCTTCCTCTGGAAAAATTTATTTCGACCATGTAAATTATCGACAAATTTGTTTCCCTTCTGCGTATCTTCTTCTGTCTTGGCACTCGAGTCATCTTTACATTCCAATCTTTCCAAAATATTTTCAGTATCTTGTTCTTGCACAGTTTTTCTTTCGCTATTAATTTCGCTATTGTTATTGTCTGCTACGTGATCGTCGTCAATTGTATTTTTACGCAATGACACATTTTCGGTAGTTTCTTCGATTTGGGGAATTGGAAATAGGGCTTTCCTCTCCTGTTTCACTTCGGATTCTTCTTCAACATCTGAATCTTCGTCGTAACCAGGCACCAAAGAAATGCTAAAATCCACGTCAGAGTTAATGCTATGTTTATTACTGTTCTTTTTTGGCACGAATTCTTTTATCAATCGGTTGTCACTATTAGCTTTGTCCGTACAGTCAACCCTTTGAATCGCATCTTGGATTTGGTTTTTTAAGTACTTTGTCTCTGTATCTTCGGCTGGTTTCGAATCTCCCGGTTTTATTACCGATTCTTCTTTGCTTTCATATATCTGATTTAGATTCTGAGAAATTGGTTGCATCAACTGTGGTTGCATCATAGGAATCGGCGCAGACGACTTTTTAGAGCATCTTGATTTTGGCGTTTTATTTGCACTTTTCACTAAAGTTTCCTTCGTATCGTTCTTTGACCGATTTTCATCTGCTGTGTCTGAATCACTTTCGTCACTCCCGTAGGATGTGATCATTTCTATTTTTCTAAACCATTAAATAATTTTTTTCTGAGACTAAAGTAGAGAGAGAGAGAGAGAGAGAGAGATTAAAGAAAGTATTAATATCATGTTATACCCATCATCGGAATCGTTGTCCATTGTATCAGATGTATTTGCGGTATCTTGATCAGTTTGGGACTCTTGTTTCTGCATGGTCTCATTGCAGATATACCTATTACGATTTCGTGCCACCACTTCCCGTGGGATCATACCTTCTGGTATATTTTCATGAGATTGTTGATCTAAAAGAATTCCACATAATTAGTCGGCGAACTTATATCATTTACAAAACAAATACAAATTCTGTGAGATATAATTACATATAACAGACGAGAAATCAACCCAATGAGACTCTTGCACTGGTTTTACAACAGAGCTGGTTTTAACGTTGTTTTTTAAGTACCGTAGTTCATCTGGCATTTCCCATGTTACTTCATTAGTCTCAATGTGCCAATAGTAAGGATAACCTGAAGATTCATCTAAACATTCTCTCCACACTAAAATGGTATTTGTTATTCATTAATAAAGTTTCGCAAGAGTTCTTCTATAAATTGCAAGATCTGGTACAATCTTACTGAGTGCCTGTTGATTTATATGTGTTAAGCGATTATTTGAGTTTGCTGTTAGGATAACATTGTTAGGTTCATTTGAGACTGATTGTTTGGGTGCAATCAGTTGAATTTCCTACAAAGTTCCAAAAATCTTATATTCTTTTAAATATTCTCTTAAAAAGTACGATCATCGGAGAGGTATTACTTACTTTAAAAAAATTATTTACTTGATCGTTTAATTTGCAATCTTTCTTTGAATCTTCAGTATCACTATCTGAATTGTAGTGACAAAGTAAATTTGCCAGTGGATTTGCAGGTACATTCTGTCCGGGATAATCGTTATTTACATGTTTGTGTTTGTCTAAAAAGTTCAATGAAAAGACACACTGTACAAAATTTTGATCTATGTACATGGTTTCATTAACAATCTTGTTTTATTAATTATAATTAAAAAATTATAAAATTTTTTATTAATAAAATGAATACTATAGAATTCAATGAATACTACTGTAATGTACATTCAATTGGATGGACTGTTGCAACAGTTTAGAAATAGAGACATAATAATAATAATAATAATTCTTTGAACAATATATGTTCTTACTTTGTAAATGTTCTCCATAAGAACCAGGTTGCGACTGATTAAGTTCTAAAACAGGCCTTCTTTGACGTCGCTTCATAATAAAACATAAGTTATATATATTATAGATAATAAAAATATCTGTAAATGTGAAAATTAAATTAGCAATATAGGAATATTAATGTAATATGCAGTTGCTTGCTAAGTCGACACAAATTTGTACGGCAAATCCTACGTACACTTAAAATGAAAATGTATTTCCTTATAAACAATGCACGAGAGTCATTCATAACCTCAAAATATAGACGTATATATATACATATACATATAATAATTACAATGTGTGAGAAGGAAGTAGAAACTGAACACTTCAATGACAATCACGAAGCGTACAAAAATACAGTATTGTATACTTCACACATGTCTTAAAAAAACTTCTAAAAAATGTTAGACATTGCAAAAGTGAGGTTATGTTGAACTGTAGTCAGAAGTTCATACTCCTCTCATCAACGGCTATCGATCGCTAAATCATTCATTGCTAGTTATACAAACTACAGGATAATTTGGCTAGCTAAAGCGCCATCTGGATGAAACGTTTCCTGTCCTACATCAAATATAGAACGCAGTTGCGGGAAATTTAAAATTATCCGTCCGTTTCTACATGGAATTCCTTTTTATTCGAAGTAATATCGCTAAGAAAATATAAATTCTTCATTTGTTTTATATAAACGTTTAATTACACTACTAACAATCATTCTATAAATACAAAACATGAAAACCAAAGAATAAAATAAGAATGAAATCCTTGAGTTTAAGGGATTCGATCACGAGTGCAATTACTTATAACATATTTATTTATAATGTTTTAGTAATATATTTCTTACTGTAGACATATATTTATACCATATGGCAGCATAGTAATATGACATTGTATAATATATACCGTGAGGTGACTGACAGAACGATTCATATTTTTAATTTCTCTTTGTTCTCTGGTCAAACACCGACACTGCAATCGTATTTCTTCACATTCATACTCCTTCACACTCATTCGTACGTATTTCACACACGCGTACGCTCATTAACGTTTTTCCAGCTTCGCGGTACGCGCGTCCAGGATTTTTCTTTCTTCCTCTAGTAACTCGCATCTATTGTACTTCCCCCGATCGCGAATCGATCGACGCTGGAACACAGAATGGCGTACGCGGAAAATCGTCTTCCATCTGATCTTTTAATTCTCATTTACGCGTTACACTCGCCGTCGTTTTTAGTTAATACGTCGTCAGGCTAATGAGCGCGTCGCAGTGCGCGCGCGTATACCGACCCCAAGTGCGAACCGGCACGATTAGTCGATAGTTGATGATCGCAACCAAGGTATCTACATATGTATATGTATATGTATATGCAGCTCGTTTACTATGCTTCGTAACATTATCTCATACTTACTCGGCTAGTTAAAATATCAATGTACATTACAATATACTCTAATAACGATAATGCAACATCGTTAATTTATTATGCTTTGCAACTTAGAAAAATAGTCCTGGCTAGGCGTGGCCGCGTCCCGTGAGACCTTGCAATAGTCATTCTTTAAATTTTCTCTTCGGAAGATCGATATCGATCTTCCTAGGGAATTTGCTCTTCCAGGATGTGTCATACCAATATATAGATAATATATATCTCTATCCAGCAATTGGCGAAACTGTGTCGTTTATTCCCTAAAAGAATAATTCCTTAAGATAACTAAAAATGAAAGGAAAATATTTAATTAAAATTTACATTTGATTTTCATTGTTTCTTTTTTTTTTTTTTTTTTTTGGTTTGTTTGTTTAGATAGATTCTGTAGTTTTCTGCCGATGCAAATTTTGACCAAATTATCAAATGTGAAAATGAAATCTAAAGCAATGAAATTGTGGAATCGCGACTGAGGAAAATATCCCTAGAAGATCATCTAATTGACTAGATTCCTTAGCGTCTCAATAGTTTAGAAGCAAGAATTTCTTCTAAATTGTGAGAAATGTTCCTATACTTTCCATTACAAACTCTATCGATCTTCCGAATTATTTCCCCCAGGCGAACAATTGGTGAATTACCTTGGTGAATCAAAGATGACAACATTCTTGGTCTGAACAGAACGATGTCGGGTAATTACAAATATCTAACAAGCTCACCGGGTAATTTGTTTGTTAATAAGTCAATTGTTTATTGTTACCTTTCAGCAATTAAACGAACGTTTAGCAAGAGCACGCGATGCGGTCACGGTACAATAAAATCTATTAAAAACAATCAACGGAACAACGGTAGTACTACCTCTCTGAAATTGTCACGCTCTACTATATGTCTACTATTGATTTATAATTTCGATCGACGATCGCGCAACACCATCGATCGACACCATCATTGAATTAGTGTGGACTTAACACTGATTAAATTATCACCGGAATCGGTGACGTTAGAACCTCGTGTCTTACACTTTTTTTTTTTTCTTTTTTTTCTTCTTCTTTTTCCATGTATACTTGCGCGATATTTATCTTCTCGCTATCAAGTATTATTCTTCAACGCGTAGGCTGCCAACCTGTGATCAACAGCGGAAGTAGCGACCACGATATAGAAAACATCGTATACTCAATATTCCCTAGATCTACAATTCTACCTCTAGCAACTATTTATATCTCGTCGAGAATGATAAAATTACACGGTTCTTTCTTTCTTTCTTTCTTTTCTTTTCTTTTCTTTTCTTTTTTTTTTTTGTAATTCGAAGTATTCCGTTGCCTCGAAATTAAAATCATTATTTCTTGTTACTAGCATTATCGGTCAAGTTGACAACCTGTGCGTCATGAAATGAAATAAAAAAAAGAAAGAAAGAAAAAAAAAAGAAGATAAAGCGCGGCCTCCAGCTTAACCGATTCCTGGTCAATTAGTAACTAATCAATTCTTCTCACTCGAACCACGTCGTTAATATATTCATGTTCATCATTCAATATCTGGTATCTAATAACGCGAGGGATTCCCACCATGTGATTCCATTTTCCCCTAGACTCTGTACACTTGCTTGCACTGCAAAACGCAAATGAGAGAAAATCGGAATTGATCGTTGTAATCGGGCGTTTGTGAGTGAGAAGGATAAATTTTTGCTCCGATAATAAACTTCATCACGGGCACTACTATTGATAATCATTTGAATCGTTAATAAACATCGATCGTCATCGAGATCGAATACGTCACGACGCAATAAATCTTCTTTCACAAACAATGGCGAACAAAACACTATAGCCAAGCACGATGGGTGAAAAAGTGCCTTAAAGTATACGTATTATTATAATTATTATTATAATTATTATTATAATATTATTATTATTATTAATTATTAGCAATTCGAACGCACACATCGTTATTCATTTATTTATTTTAATATTATCGTTATCGATATTACTATTAATATTATTATCGTTACCATTATTTTTATCATTACAGTTATTATTTATTTAGAACGACATAAAAAAGTCAGTCCTTGAAAGCAGAAATTTCATTTCACCCGTCGTGCCTGGCCGTGAAACAACACTACACGTGTGAACCATACCGAACGAACGTAACACATTCAGACGAAAGAAAAAAAACAAATCTCTCATCCATTGTATCGTGATTTTTCCTTTCTTTTCTCTCTTTCTTATCCTATCCTTAGATCTCTTCGTTCCTTCCTTTCTTTCTTTTCTCGCGGGAGCGTTCGTTACGATGCGCGGGCCTCGAAAGCGACTCGGACAAACGAATACGCGTGACACGCGAAAACAGCGAATAATACGAATATAATCCCTATGATCTCTAGCTACAACGAATTCCCAATAATTGATCTAAATTCAGTTATATTGCAGGAAATTCTATTCTCGTTTCTTTGGTGTTGAAGTTGTTTATACTCGTACCCCGCGTACTGTGCGCATCACACACTTCCTCGGGATGCGTTCGGCTTTGGCCGACGTTCGACAGAATAAAATGTTTCATTAGACATTCTACCAACATTTTTCATTCACTGGAGGATCACCGTACTAAAAGATAAGTTCTACGAGTGTATCCTCTGTTGGAAAGTGAAGGAATCAGCGGGATTTTTAACAATCAGAAAGAACATCCCCGGACGCGGAGAAAACACTCCGCGAAAGCCGAACGCATTTTACAATTGACATTGTCACACACAAAACGCTACTTTTTTTCATCTACTTTCTCATATCCCGACGCTATCTGTTATGTTCACACTTTCACATCGGTGCCTTACTTACTTCTTTTTTTTTTTTTTTCTTTTTTTCTTTTTTCACAGTCCATCTCCTTCTGGTTCGCATGAGCGGTCGCATGGGCGTCTTTAGTAAAAGCGCGCCGCGACGCGCACTTGTAAATTGTAATTAATTATGTCGACACGCTACTATATATTCTTCAATACATATATATATATATATGTATATATATATATATATACTTGCTTGCTGTAGCGATCAACGATAGTTGTTTTTTCTTCTCCTTCATCTTTTTAT